CCACAAGAGTGTTCCAAATGAGTGTCCCACAGGAGTGTCCCACAAGACTGTCCTGCAACAGTGTCCCGCAAGAGTGTCTCACAAGAGTGTCCCTTAAGAGTGTCCCACAAGAGTGTCCCGCAACAGTGTCCCACAAGAGTGTCCTACAAGAGTGTCGCACAAGAGCTTCCTACAAGAGTGTCCCACAAGAGTGTCCCACAAGGGTGTCCTACAGGAGTATCCCTCACAAGAGTGTCCTACAAGAGTGTCCCACAAGAGTTTCCTACTAGAGTGTCCCACAAGAGTGTCCCACAAGAGTGTCCCGCAAGAGTGTCCCGCAAGAGTGTCTCACAAGAGTGTCCCACAAGAGTTTCCTACAAGAGTGACCCACAAGAGTGTCCCACAAGAGTGTCCTACAAGAGTGTCATTTGGACATATGTAGCTTTTCGAACGTGTTTGCATTCGGGTTCGTGGGCTCCATCTTGTTTTTTTTCATTATTTTTCCGCATGCATTCTGAGTTCGGAACCATTCGAAGGGTAATTTCTTTTGCCCATATTGACCTGTCATCAGGTGTGCGGATAAGTGTTTGTGGAGAAGCGAAGAGAGCGACGGACTGGTAGCAGTTTTCTGGCCCTGATCTATGAAAGTCACGCTGTAGCAAGAAGCTACTAGGCTCCTGGCCATACTACTAGGAGCAAGAAGCTACTAGGAACCCGGGCATCGCTACTAGGAGCATTCTTACTACTAGTAACTAGTAACAAGAAGCTAATGGTTGTGGATGAGATGCGAAAACTTGTAACTACGGCTGATGGGTAACTACGGCTAACTACGACTTCCTGTCAGCGCCGACCGGTCGCACCAGCGACGGGGGTGATGCCAGGAACTTGCATTTCTTGGGTGCGTGCAAGAGATCACGTGAGCGCCAGAACCTCGCGCGGGAGATCACCCCGGGTTCTTTGTCACTCCTTTGTCACTCTGCCCAGAAGCTTTGTCATTTATCAGAGTGTGGCAGAAGTTTCTGGTGCCAACTCCTGGAATAGTTAAAGCGCATCAAGACCCTCGTTGATGACGGTCGTCTGAAGAAAAGGACCCCTTTTTGGATCCTCCATGTGATCAACCTCGGCTGCCAGCAAAAGACCGACTCGCGCCCCCGACCCGCACTTCCAGAGCTCAAAGACTGCCAACTTCACCAAAAACCGAGACGTAGAGTCATAGTCTTGCTACCTCTTATATACTTGAAGACTTAAATGAAGGTTTACTGAGCCACAGCCACACATGCAAAACTTCACAGAAGCCTGGACATGTCTCGTGTTGCATTTCATTGTGGTGGATGAAACAACACCTTGTGAGGCCACAAGTTGCATAGTTTGCTGGAGGCTTCAGGTGTCAACGGTGTCAACATGTTTTTGGCGGTGGCCTTGGCCCAAGCCTGTGGCCTCACGGGCTGAAGGGTTTCCACTCCACTTTGGAGACTGTGTGTGGCCTTGACCAAGCTTGTGTGTCCAGACAGCTCAATTGGTTGCGAGAAATCGAACAGTTTGGAACACGCGAAGATATCCCACAAGACCGTTCGCCACAAACCCTTCTCCAAAGTGGCGTCGATGCCGTTCGCTGCGCCATCCGATTCGGAAGCGCGACCGACTGCGCCATGAGATGCCATGAGCAGCAAGGCGCCACCGAAGCGGACACCGAAGCGGCGCCGGCGTCGATGGTGAGACGGACATAAAGAGATCACCGTCGGAACTGCCCGTGTGGCCGGTGAGCAAGGGGTGAAGAGAATCGGATGCTTGAACGAACGGCGCTTTTGCACACACACAAGAGATCCACTAAAACGACACTCTTTGGGGGCATTTGTTTTGGTTCGCTAAAAGGATAATTGCAACCACGGCTGAGGTAATTCCACTTCAAATCAGAGGAATTCTTTCGAGAGACAACAGAGGATGCTCTTGCTGCAAAAGTGGATCAAGATTTGACTGATTAGAATAGACACAAATCGGTCAACCACAAGAACGGAGAAGAATGTCGGAATATGGCTGTGAAGTTTCTCCTGTAAGCTACCTATTTCTTTGTTCTATTCTTCCGTTACCTGGCAGGTTGGCCGTGCTGCTAGCGTGCCGACATCCTCCTTGGCGGCTGACCAAGTGGCCAAGAATTGGTAACTCAGCAGCCATGTACACTGGCTCCGGTTGGTTCTCAGCGCAATTCTTTGATTGTGATGGTTCGAACCCGTTTGGCCTCGATGCCATGTCACCCCTCCGCTGGAAGTGCGCCAAACCGTTAAGGCAGATTGGGGACAGGATCAAGACGCAGGTCGGCAAGAAAACCTATTGCGGAACAGTTCGCTTCGTTGGAATCTTGGCTTGTACAGTGGCCTGGTGAAGTTTGTAGGCCTTGTGGGTTCACAGGGTATTTCAAACACACATATATTGCGAACCATTTTCTGTGCAGATCAATATGTACATGAGTAGCATAATTAACATCATCAACCTTACTGCAGCCCTTTTGCGTATAAAGGAAACGTGCGTATAGTAGCGGAGCTAAGAAGGAGGTAACCGCTCTGGAGCTCTGAGTGAAAAGCCCCTAGGTCACTGGGATCCCGGGTGCGGTTTCGAGCCATAGATTTGGGGCCTTTGGAACCCAAACAGCTGCACTGGTGAATAATTGTTGTAAGCCGAGGCAGTGAAGAAAGCAGTTGAGGACAAGAAGTCATCAACCACAGGTTGGTCAATATTGATAGCAAAGCCAAATATCTTTGACTATAAGTCGCAAGAAGAAGAGAGCAATGCAGAAAGCGGTCATGGGTCTTTGAGAAATACCTGAGCGCAGTACATGGACTTGGCAACTGAGGCAGAGAAGACCAGGTGCATCAAACTCTGTGGGTTGTTAGAATCATTAACGACAGGAAGGGCACTGCAATTGGTGAAAGCGGTGGAAGACGCCAATGGATTTGATGCCTGGAGGAGTTTGAACAAAAGCCTGGAAACATCTTGAAACCAACTTCAAAGGCAAGAGGCTTGGTGCTCTCGATAGCATCCACTACATGGCCAGCATTTTCAATGAACAGTTGACCACAACCTCAACTTTTGAAGCTTGAAGAGGTATTGATGAGACAGCTAAGTCAGGTAATACAGTTCAGGAAGAGTTGAAGCCTGCTATTCTTTTGAGAAGTGTCGGTGGACAGCTTTTGACAATTGGCGAGAATGTTCAATACTCCAGGTTGAGGGAACAAGTGTTGCAATGGGATAGATCTCAGCAGGAGTGGGCTACTTCCATGGTGACTAGTAGCAGTACAGACTATCAAGGACCTATGCAAATGGAGGTTGATCGAGTTTAAGAGGCCAAAGGAAAAGGTAAGAAGGGCAATCAGAAAGGCCTGCAAAGGTAAAGATGCTGAGGGCAAAGGAAAGAAAGGACAAGGACATCAGAAAGGAAAAGAAGGTGATTACAAGGGCAAAGGTAAAGGCAAAGACAACAAAGGCAAAGGTGTGGTAACATGATACACTTGTGGGAAGCCAGGACATCTTGCTAAAGACTGTTGGAGGAACAATATTTGACAGGTAGCCAGTGGCCAAGCCCATTCATCTTCAGGAGGAGCATCAGTGACAACTCACACGGTTAGCCACCAGCGTGCCAATGTGAGCCAACAAGGTAGCTCAGCAGAGACCAAACCAGTGGTCAGGAGAATTGAGAAGAGTGAGCCAATCATCTTTGACTTGAGACAAGGAGGTGATGAGTTGGAAGACCAAGTATTTCAAGTAATTCACTTCTACGATGGAGATGATGATGATGAGGAGCCAGAGATGCAGGAAGTTGAGGAGATGTCAATCTCGATCTCAGATGATGAACCCATTTTGAGGAGACTTGGGGAAGAGAATGAGGATGTGGCCATCATTATTGACAGTGGAGCTGATGTAGCGTTATTCCCTTTGAGTACGCAAAGACCAATTCAGCGCAAAGACCAAGCTACAAGACGCACAAGCAAATCGCATCCCCACAGGAGGTGCGAAAAGTGTAGCAATTTCCTTGCGCGAACTTGATGGACGAGAAGTTCTTCTCAAAAAGAATGTGATCTTCAGTTCAAGGTGAATCAGCCCATGCTTTGTTATGGAAGGTTGGTGGATCAGAGAGCAAATGTTGGAGATTGGTGACTGGAAGGTACCACTCAACCTACAAAATCGCCCTTTGACGGTTCAAGGTTGGAGATTCAATGAGCGTGGGCTGCTAGTTGGAAGCTTTTTGACTTCAAGATTTGTGGATCCCACAGTCATTGCAGAAGTGTAAGAACCACCAGAGCTGATGAGAACCACTTCGGTGAAAAGAGGCGGTAAAGGGTTAATGCCTGAATATGGTGAGAGCATAATGAAAAAGGAGGAAGTTGATGAGCAATTCTTTGATGATGAGGATGATGATGATGATGATGCAGTTATTTCTTCAATCACAATCTTCAGCTATGAAGCAGCGCCGTAGAGGATGTGGGATTCTTTGCGCCAGGACACGGACGGAGAAGCCCTAGAGGAGGTTACCCCTACTCTAGGAAAAGAAAGGTGAAGACCTTGAATGTGAAGCACACAGTTGAGCCCAATCGGTGTAGACAAAGTCTTGGTGACTGGAATAGAGTTGGCTAAGCACTCATGTTTGGCAACTCTGAGGGCAGCGTGTTCATTTCTTGGCATTTAAGGCAGTGGCTCTAAGCTAAAGTTCTACACTAAGATCCTCAATCACAACAAGAAGATGGAGTTGTTGAATGCCAAAAGCTTGGTAAGGGAAGCAAAAAAGCCTAGGAAACAGGAGAGGCACTAGGGCAAAGTGTTGCAAAGATGCCAGATAACGCAACTCACGCAAGGCGCAGATTGACGCGCGTGCCATATGCCAGTTGGTGTGTTGAACATCGAGCGCGTCCAGACCGTCGTGAGAGAACAGATGGAGTAAAGAGAGGAAGTATTCCTGAGGTAAGTTGGCTACACAAGAGCCAGGGACTCAGAGACAAAGTCAGCAAGAGCAGTATGTTGGCTAGTTGCAATTGACGGCCAAACTGGATTCATTCATGTTGTACCATTAGGAAGCAAAGGACAATTCGCCTGATTGTGCGAGAGTTGATGATTTTCCGTCAGTTGTTGGGGCATTCAGCAATCACAGAACCCACAACAAGGCAAATCCTCAAGATGCTGATCAATGCTCGGCACAGTCTAAGCTCAAAGCTTGGAGATCATTCATTTCTGTCAGAGAACAGTTGACAGGGTGAGAAAGCTTGCAGGAACTTTCATTGAAGGTGTGCAGTCAAGACTTGGTATCAAGATTGGATCAGATCATGCACTTTGGACTTGGGCAGCAAGACATGCCAGTTGGGTGCTAAACAGGTTCCAGCGAGTCAAAGGAGCAACTTCCTATGAACTTGTCTATAGCAGGAGCCATGAAGGACTTCTAGCGTAATATGGTGAACCAGTTCATGGTTACACCAAGAGTCTCGACAAAGATTGCATTTATGCTTGTTCTTGGCAAAAGTTGAAAGGCAAGACACTTATGTGCTTACAGATGGAGTGCAGGTAGTGCTCAGCAAATGTATCAGAAGAACAGATCAAGATTGGTCTAAGTAGCTACCCGTATACAAAAGGTTCAATGCATTTTCATGGGAGTATCAAGCCAACTTTGGAGGCAGGATCATTGCCAAAGCAGAAGCATTACCAGCAGCGCCAACGGGCATTCCTCGAGAACATGTAATGCGGAAGAAGATGCAGAAGCAGTAATGGCCAAGGCGCTGGAAGGAAGAAGTGACTCAGACAAGGAGGAAGCACTATCTCCAGAGCCAAAGAAGATTCCAGCCCCACGGGAAATCCCTGTTGAAGCAATGAAATGAGTGAGATGGAGGGGAAAGAAAGCCCCCCCCCCAAGTGGTGAAGAGACACCAAGTAGAAGAAAGTTCTTTCCACAGATGACAGCAGGGCAGCCTAACCCAATTCCTCCTATATTATCTTCATTGAGATCACCATCAGCGCCGTCAAGACCAAGGGATTCAAGCAAGAAGGCCACGATCAAGGTAGTGAAAGTTGGAGGGGAAGATCTTTACCATGTAGATGAAGAGTTATCCCCAGTTGCAGTGGAAACTGATGAGGAAGAGTGGGATGATGAAGAAGATGAACCAGTTGGAGATCAACGGACCTGAATGCTTGTGGCTTGATGGAGAGCGTGAACCAGAAGGAGATCCAGAAGAATGGATAGACAGAGTTGCTGAGGAAGTGGAGGAGAAGAGACTCCAGAAGATGCAAGCGCTAGAGAAACCAGAAGGCAGCGCGAAAGGCATCAGTTACTTGACAGCAAGACATGTGTATGACTGTAGGAACAAACCATATCGGCTTGGAGATAAAATTTCAGTAACAAGGTGGAAGAGAAGATCAAGACTAAACTACCTGGACAAAGAGTTGGAGCAAAAGCGTGGTTTGACTTTTTCACAGTACCTCACAGAGGAACTCAACGTTCAGTGCTGAGTGTCCACGCCCAGGAAGAAACGAGAAGAGTTGATCCATGTGGATGACTTGATTTTCACAGGAGACTCAAAGTACATCAATGAAATCTTTCTTCCAAAGATTCAAGGCAAATTTGACACCAGCGCAAGCCAGATTGAGAGAATTGGTGATGAATTAATTCATTTTTCCGAGGAGAAAGTACAAACTGGAAGTTGATGGATTATGGATCAAGCCAGGCAACTACATCCAGCAGATGTTGAAAGCCTATGAAGATCAGATTGGACCTGCCAACCTTCAACTACCAGCAGACAGCTCAGTCCAGATGGAAGACAAGTCAGAAGTACTACATGAGCATGAGCAGTCAACAAAGAGGTCCGGTCGTTCGTTAGCTTGTTTACCATGGGCTGCAAACAGCTTTTTGCAAAAACTTTTTCTTTCTCAGGCATTTTTCAGGCTTTTATGTTTGTCATTGTAATGTTTCTTTCTGGCTTTTTCAAGAACATTCCTGCGGATTCCCTCAGGCAAAGCAGCGGGACAGAAAGGGCAACGCCAACCTTCGTTCGATTCAGGCAAGCTAAAATAGACTTCCAAGTGGTTGGCAGTGCATTTCATGTTAAAAACCGATCGGGGGTCGACGTCCGGGTAGTGCAGAAAGTCAACGTCAGGCCCATTGTTCAACAGCAGCAGGACGCAGGAGATCATTAGCCTATCTTCATGTGAAGCAGAAGTACATGCGATAGCATCAGATGGAACCTACGTTCGCGCAGTTCTGGAATTTGCTCTTGGGACAGAGGTGGACCAGTACGTCTACACAGATTCACCAAGTGCACGCCAACTTGTGATGAAGAGAGGAGTTGGAAAGGTGAGACACTTAGATGGGAAGTTGCTATGGATATTCAGAGCAGGAAGGACTTCAAGATGGTACAAGTGCCAGCAGATGGAACCATAGCAGGCATCAACGCAAAACCACCTGGAGGACAGAGAATCAGATACTTGTTGAATGTCGTTGGTTGCTGGCACAGTGAAGACCAAATCAGAGTAGGAGAGTATGAGAGAAGGGAGTACGAAGACAACAAGAACTTTGCAGGAAAGGTTACTCAGATTGCAAAGATGCGCTTCGCTTCTTTAGAGTTTCTTTGGGCTTGGCTTGAGTTTTTCTTGGGGGACTTAAGCGGGAGGAGGTTCGGGCAGCGTGTTTCAAAAGCAGCAGCGGCAGCAAGACAGAGGGAGAGAGGGACAGGTAAAAAGAAAAGCAGCGAGCAAAGACAAAGAGAGGAACTACTAGGGCAGATTTGCAGTTGGGTTTCTTCGGACTAGAGGACTAGGGGATCAAGGCGCCAGGGGACCAAAAGACCAAAGGACCAGGCGACCAGAGAAACTCCCATGCCGCCAGTCAGCTCGCTGACGGGGAACTCAGATCTACTAGCTTTTGGATCACCAGACAGTAGGTTACCCTGACCCGGTGTGGCAAATGTTTTGTTTTTGCCTGCATTTTCTTTTGAGAAGCACTTATGTCGCAATATGCGACATGGTATCAAATCACACTCAGGTTAACAAAAGCTGTTTCATTTTGGCTTTAAGCTACAGTCACCCGCCCATTGGGCCTGCTGTTTTGCTGGCGCTTTGCTGGGTGAGTTCCAGCAGCTGATTTACCAGCCCCTCTTGGACCCTCGAGCGAGCATGGTTGAAAAAAAGGCTTGCTCTCAATGGACGGCTTGAATCGTTATTTCATATTTAGTAACCTGCATTGATCAATTGCTGAGAAGACAAGAGTTGTCGCGTCATTCTCTTTTCGAAGTTTTTTTGCACACTACTTCTGCTGCTTAGGTGTTTCAGTGAGGTATTCCGAAAGAGTTTGCAAAACTGTAGAACAAAATATCTCTATCATTGTTCATCATCATTCAAAGGTGCCTTGCTTGCCGCACATGGCAACCAAATCAGTCCAAAGGATTGATCCCGTCAGTCTTACTTCAATGGGAAGGTGACCGTGACGGCTGTCGTGGGGATTGTCCGAAAGGAAGGCAGGCAGGCGGGCAGGCAAGCAGGGAGGGAGGAAACAAGCAACGCCTTTCAATTTCTCTTTCTCCAGCCCTTTTGTTTTTTTCGGTTTTTCTTTCCTTTTTTTGTGTTGTATTTAGTACGCGTACATAAATATCTATAGTTGTTTCTATTTTTTGGTTCATGTGAATCCTCGATCTCACCGGTTTCTTTCGCACGGGAACCTCTTTTTTTCATCACACTGAGGAGTCACCTACTTCGCTCATGGAGACTGGGTCGGAGTTGAACTCGAAGAGGCCGTTGGAAAGAACAATGGCACCGTTCAGGACCTGCAACTTCCGGTGGGTCCCGTCAGGTCGAAAAGGACCGCAGCGGTGGAGACCGCAACTTCCTGGGGGACCTTTTCATCTATGTCGATGTACGACGTGTGGCGTGTGTTGACGGCTTTGTCGGAAGCAAACATGGAAAGAGGGTACGACGTGGAGAAGGTCATGTTTTGTTCATCTGAACACCTTCTCCCTTTTGTCCCCACTGTGTCCAGACCCACGGTTTGATGGTTTGTAAACACGTTTTTCATTTTTTGTTCGGAAATATATTCCAACCTCTGTCCGTACAATCAGAGATCGCATATGGAGTGTGGGTCGATAGAAGTTGCATATGTTATATATGCAAAGACTACCAGTTCAAGAAATGCGTGGGCTGAGACTAGAAGAGACTGCCCAAATGGGTTAGTTGGTTCTTTCAAAACACGTTTTTTGAAAGTGGCAATTCTTCTACCATCCAGGAGGTCGTGTACTTCCGTTGCCCAGCCCAGCATGGCCTCTTCTGCCGGCCCTGGACAATCCAAGCCGTGGAATCGGTAGAGACCGGAACAGCAGAGCTCAAAAGCCTGACGAAGCACCTCGAGGAGCCTGACGGGGAGGTCGTTTCGATGCCACCGCATGTCCCCGCTGCAGGGTTCGGCATCGGCTTTGGAGTTGAAGACTATTCCACCGGTCTGAGAGATGTGGCCAGATGAAAGGGTTCCGTCTCTTTCCCCAGAAAGGTCATGCAATTCTAACCATTTAAGCCGAACATAGCCGAATATCTTTTCGACCGAGTACTGTAAGCATTCGACCGATTTGACAGGACCTCACAACGAAGGTGAAAGAAATCCATGCTGCTCAAGCCAAGACCAGTGAACAGCTCGACCGCCTGGAAGCCACGGACCGGAGCCCCTTCAGCCAGGTGGGGGGCGTTCTCGATTAGCTCGAATTTTTATCATCGGAAGATTTGTTAGAGTCGCTTTCAGAGTGGTTGACGTGACACTGCTTTGGGGATGCCCACATCATATCACACCGATTTTGGACATCATCCTTCGTTCGTAAAGGCAGATCTGTAGGGCAGGGGTTTAAAGGAGAAAACTCCGACATCGTATGGTAAGGAGATGTGACAAGCTTTGCACGGAATCCAGTAATGGACAAAACATTAGTTTCGCCATGCTAAATATAACTCTTTCACACAACTGCCACGCAGTTGTCGGAGACGACAAGAGAACAGAAAGTTCTTTTGGATAGTTAGAAGGGTTGACTGAGTGCCGGGAGGATCTCATCAAGAAGGTGGACGAGCTCCATGCTGCTCAAGCCAAGAACAGTGAAAAGCTCGACCTCCTGGAAGTCACTGAGCAGGGCCCCTTCAGCCAGGTGGGTGCGTTCTTTCATAAGCTCGATCTTTATGCTTGACTGCAACAGACGCTAGCTTTTGTAGAGCTGCTTTCACACTGGTTGATGTGACTCTGCTTTGAGCAAGCTGATGCACGCACCATACATACCACAACAGAGTTTGGTACAGATTGGGTGTGGTGTGGTCTCATCACACCACGGCGGTTGTAAGCCAATATGGGTTTCTCATGGCTTTTGTTCCAAAACAGAACGAGTCACCTGTCGGAGGATCTCGTCAAGAAGGTGGAACGACTTCATGAACGCGTGGACCAGGTGGGGTCTGCAATGCTCTCCTGTGTGTTCCCTTCTCTCTCTCTCTATACATAAATCGGGATTGACATCGATTTCAAGAAGGGTTTAAGTATGAGTTAAAATCCATTACTATCTCCTTTCCATTTTTCTCTCCGTACCTTAGGTTGATCTCATGGATTTACATGTGTCATATATACATGGAATATATACACAACTAGAATCATAATATGTAGTCCCTAAGTGAGCTCCTCAGATTTGATTTACTCTCTCCCCGTCTGGTCCCTCAATCCTCCTATGTTCAACCTGTCCCTTTGTAGAGTGTCCGGTGCTCTTTGGGGATTTTCTTCAGATTAGATCAACCGTTTCTGTGCTTGCTTCATACATGGGATTTTTGCTTCGAGCTCGCGATCAAAGACAAACTCACAAAGTTAAGATCCCCAGAGTGTTGGCGAACGCATGACATCAAAGAGCCAGTATACTTATCCTCCTTCTCCTGAGTTTTTTGTTGTTTTGTAAAGCAAGATGTCCACTTGTGGAGGTCATTATTCTGATGAGTTGTACTTGAACACCCTACGCACCCTGCTTTGGACACCGAGAATCCGGGCCTGGGCCAGACTCCCATCGACGCCGGTCTCGCCGCTGTGGCGGTTTCGCCGAGAACACCGTGTCAGGCCCTACCAGCGCCGAAGCCGCGCCGTGATCCGCAGGCGCGTCCCTGACCCCGATTTCTAGCAAGAGGGAAGGAGATAGTGCCTTTCTATTGGTGAGGCAAAAGGGAGCATCGTGTTTTGACTGAAGGTGAATGTTTGTTCTCAAAAAAAGTGACAGATGGTAGAGTCATGTTAGCAGTCCTTCACTCAATGATTCTTGTTTCGAATATCTTCGTTTCAGCTCTTTTGCTCAGCCTGCCCGATTGCTTGGTGCCCTCTTTTCAAGACCTCGACCGAAGAAGCACCGGCACATCCCCGTTTTGGCGGCAAGTCGTGTGCTTGGTGTTTGAGCGACCAGGCCAAAGGTCAGAGAAAACATGGAAGTGTTCAGTCATCTGGAGAATACACGAGAGCAATTCCAGTGTTTTGGTGTTTGACCAGGCCAAGAGCTTGGACGCGTTGTCTCTTTGCTTCGAGTATGCCAATGCTGAGCTGACCCTCGTGGCACCCTCCTGGCGACTCCACTTGCGAGAAGTGGCCAAGATGGTGGCTTACCTGGTGCAGGTGGTGAACGGTTTTCAGGCTGGGACCGCCCAAGAACGAGAGCGAAGTGGGGGTTTGGACTGGTGAAGAGGATACTTTTGTACATGGATCGGCATCAGCCAGACGTGTGTGCTGTGAACATATCGATCAGTGAAAAACTATAGTGTGTTCTGCAAGCGATGATAGTCCGGCATAGACTGGCTAGTTGTTTGTGAAGTAGTTACAGTTACATGTCAGATTGCTTTCACTTGACCCCAAAGGGTTGCAGATTTCATCCGGCAGAGTCAACAAGATGTGAAAACTCATTCTTTGGGGTGAGGCTTTGTCGATTGTTTCAGCAGAAGAGCGCAGCGAGGAAGCAGCAAAGGCCACGTGGCTATTGATTTGGACTCTTCTCCTTGTCAGCTCATGCTTCATTTGGTACTCTCCGCCCAGACAGACATGAAGACTATGATTACAGAATACAACCACCTCACCCAAACCAACGAAAATACATGTCGCGCTCCGAAATACAGGTGGCGCCTGACAATTCAGATTGTAGAAGGGGAGCACACAATTACATAGCTGTTGTTTCGCCCTTCCTGATTGGTACGTGGGTAGTGTGAGGCTTCATCGAGCCTGTCACCTGGAAAAGCAGAGATGCCCAGGGCAGCCCGTGCTCGAGTTGAGAACACATCGTTGCAACATTTCTCACCATTCGATCCCGCTTTGAGTTGGCATCAAAACAGCTCTTCTTCAGCAGAATGGTGAAGTCCGAATGCAATGGACAGTGAGCCAAAGCTTTATCAACATGTTGGAAAGCTAATGTCTTCGACTCTTGACGGACAATCTTATCCTCAGCAAATGTGTTTGCGTCAAAGCTGTCGTGAGACATGGTTGATTCGTGTAGGTTCTTTCGTCACCTTTGGTCCCTGTAGTCTGTACAGTAGTCTGTTCCGAAACCTACAAACAATAATACCACCTGATTGGACCTTACCGTTCTATCCAGGAAACAAAACGGCCTGAGGCTCCAGCCTGACACCTCTGCCAGGTGGAGAACATCAGTGTGCGGTTGGTGGACCAAGCGTTGAGGCAATGCTTGGAAATCCCGGTGCTCTTCAAAGGAGATTCGCGAGCATCTTGACTTATAAGGCGAGTAAGAAGATGAGTAGGAAGATTAGTAAGATAACTCCCTAGAGGCTTTGTGAGGTTCTTTGTTTTTTTTGCATAGAGGCCATCGGTATTTCATTAGGTTGGAGGCCATCGCTACTAGGTCGGAGGCCAATCGCTACGAGGTTGGAGGCCATCGCTACTAGGTTGGAGCACCATTTTTGCATTCAGAGTTTCTTGGGGGCCAGCAGAATCCGGATATCGTGTCGGGCTGCTTCTTTTGTGACATCTCAGACCTTCTGCAGGTTTCTCTGCGGATTCCACCAAAAACTGTGAGATCCGGAGGTTAACATTATGGTGAAAAAGGAAGCGACAAAGGATGCGACCAGTGAGCTCTCAAATTTCACCACCCGCACAAGCCCCTCTCAACGACCACAGTTGATGGTAGTTCCCCCAAAAGTGACAACCCGTGCATCGCACAGGTGTAGAATCACGCGCGAATCCAGTGCAGAAGCAAGGTTGGTCTTCAACAGAATGGAGAGGAATGGCCTTCAACCTACTAGCGATGGCCTCCAACCTAATAGAAATGGAGAGGTCAACTGCTAAGAAGGCCAGAAAAGAGACCAAAACCAAGGAAACCAAACCTCAAGGGCCGAAGCCGGTCCCAAACTCGTCTCGAAACCGCACAGCGGTGGGTGCGACCGGTCCCAGCCTGCCCCAGCCCCCGACAGGCCTCCTGGGCCATGGCACCGAATCTTCGCTTCGCCACCTGGATGCTCCTGAAAGTGCTGCCTGCGGTGGAGTCCGAGTCGGGGGATGAAAAGATCCTCTTTGACCTGGTGAGCCACTGTCACCTGGATGTGGGAGGATGCGACATTGAGTCGGAGATAAAGGTGCTCTTTGGTGGGATAAACTCACAGAGGGATGATAGGGAACGAAGTTGTTTGAAGGTCCTCCCTTGGTCGCCCGGAAGAAAGCCACGAAGGGTAGATGGCTTCTGCTTATCCTTGTACTGGGAGGCCTTTTTCAATTGATTTGATTTCCTCTACATCTATGCGCACTGGCACTCTTTTGTATGGGTCATTCGGGCGACATTTCGGGATTCGTCAGTCCGCCACAGTACGCGCCAACGGTACGCGCCGCCACGCGCCGCCACGCGTCGCCACGCGTGGAGTGAAGTCTTGGATGTGAAGCGCCAAACACAAGCACGGACCAAACCGCTAGCGGCTAGCGCTACGTCAAAGGTCAGTTTACATGATGCTTACTACATCTTACTACCAGAAGCAGCTGTTTGCGTGCTCATGTAAGAGTTGGGACCATATTTGTGTTGAGTGTTTTCAGTGTTGGAAGATTCCTGACCCTTTTCCCGTGTTCATCCTTTTTCCCGTCGTCCACGGTCACCCCGATTGATCTCGGCCGCGTCGTTGTCGTCCGCGACTCGCCGTGACGGCGGTGTCAGGTAAGGACTTGACGTCGACATCGTGCCCGCGGACAGCTGAAGCGAGACTCTTGCTGGATGTGAGCTCTGCACTCTTGGACACCATGCAAAAGTGGAAGAAAGAGCTCCTCAAAGGTGCGGCCAAGACTGCTTGTGTCGCGGCAGAGACGTTTTCTTGTTCTTTCATCATTGGTTTGTAAGTTCAATGGATTGGGAGAAGGGTGTGCCGCCTGTTCAGGGGCCTTAGAGGGCATGGAAACTAGGTTTATATAGGTACCCTTATAAAGTGCATCCATCAGATTACCCCCACCCAGGTCAACGAACATTTGTCTCCTTGTGTTTCCATGGGTTTGTTCGCGTCATTGCTTGAAAGCTTGGCATTGCTTGGGCTTTTGGCTGGTTTCTTGCTTGGATCATGGCTAAACATGGCATGTCCAAGCCGCGGTGGCCTGATGTGCTTTTCTGAGGTGGCCTGATTAAGAGTGCATTGACATGGAAACTGGATGAACATCTGCTGGAGGGCGTGGGTGGCGTGATGAAAGCAGGTTTGATGGCTTGGAAAGATATGCAATCCCAGGACGGTTGGCATGCACAGCGAAGCCAGACAACTACAGTTGTGGGAGTTGTCGGAAAGGATTGTTGTGTTGAAAATGGGGAAATGTTCAGAAGCGGATGAAATGCTAGGAGGTGTGGTTTCTCAGAAACGCTTGAAATGCTACTTAACTCAAAGACCAGACGATCAGGTGGAGCATCCAAAGATGTGTGCAGATGTATGAATCTTGGAGTGACCGTAAAAACTGCATGTAGTTGCAGATTCTTCACACTTATTGAGCCATCACTTTATTGAAGATCCACAGCGTTCCACAGCACCCACCCCCACAAAGCGCGGTTGTGGGTCATTCATGAGTCCTCTAAGACATCAGGATGGCGCGGGATCCCAAATATGATTGAGAATGACAGGGAGGTCATCCACATCTCATGACTTACCACAAACAGATCACCTGACCCTCATCAGTGGAATTCGACCACTGACATGCAATGCCTACCAACACGTAGGGCTGGGAGCCATCGATGGCAGGCGACCTTGGAAGAGCTTCGGATTCTTCATCCACCGGATGATCAGCTGCTGAACGACCCAGCGAACGTCCGCGAGTTCATGCTGCGCTTGTCCCAGCGCGCGGCATGTCGCCGGGAGACATGGCAGGTGCAGAAAGGAATTGTTGGAGCACACCAAAGGGAGAGTTTTGTGAAGCACGCTACCAGGGTGGAGGCCATCGCAAGTAGGTTGGAGGCCACCGCTCTTAGGGAAGCCATCGCTTTTAGGTTCCTTTTTGCTGGTGAAACTATGCGTGCTCTTGGATTGTTGGGTCTTCACCTTCCCTTCTAAAGACCTCCTGCCTGGGTTATGCTTGCGGTAAGCCCTATCACATGCAACTCGGCAGCTTTGCATCTCTTCCACCAGTCCCTTCCACCGTGGCCGCGGCCGGTGTCGGCCGGTGTCGGAGGTCCAGGTGACCATCGTGTACCAGGTGCATCGCTTGGGCGCTCGTGCAGTGCATGCGTTGGCGCTTGAGGCGGATCAGAGCCTTCCGGTGGAGCGGCGCCAGGCGCGCGCAGCGGCCAGGGCGGTCGGCCGGGGCGGCCAGGACTGGTGGATCTGGGGCGTGGAAGGCAGAGGCAGTGGCCTGATAATTCATGTCAGTGAGTCAGTGGATATATGTTCTGCAAGAATTGTTGTTTTGGCATCAGAAGTCTTTGTTGTTGCCTTGTTTAGGAGAGATTCTCAAGCAGAAAGATTGGAATTGAGCATACAGTTTGTGTTTTCAGGACTTGCCGAGGTGCTGGGTTGCAAGCAAAAGTAGCTCCAATGAATGAACAACCCACACCACATTTGTGCTTCAATCCTGTCGAACCCGAATGAAACTGTTCGACAGTCTGAGTAGCTCAATTTTTCAAGTTGGAGGACCCGTTTAGACAATCCCACAGCATGACTGGAAGCAAACGCGTGCTCACGATTTGCCAGTCTTAGTACTTGGTAATAGTTGTTCAATATTCCGGATGCCTGCACAAGCCTTCGCGTTTGGCGGCTTTGTATTCACTTTTTGGATCTTTCTGGTTAGACTGGGCCTTTGCCTCGGACTATCTGCATGTTGATCCAATCTGACACCAAGCTGTTCGATGAAGAGGTTTCGCGCACCAAATCTGTGGAGCCAACCAGTTCGCCACCAGTTCAGGGCGTGTATTCCCCGTTGGGCAGCGTTTGGAGGCCTGGCTCCAGATCTTGCAGCTGAGCTTGGGTGGATTTGGCTCGGCTCGAGGGCTCTTGAGGTTCACTGAACCTTCGATGAAGTCCTTTAAAGGAGAGGGGCGGTTGCCAAATACTCCAAAAATGCGTTCGAAGATCTCTTTTTGGATGTGTTGTGACATTTTGAGTTTTTGCAAGAGCGCTGAATTGATAAGCCGCTTTTTGAGAGCTTCAGACCTGAGATGATCAGAGAAATGAAGTCCGGTTCACGCTATGATAGCTTCTATGATAGCTTCTCCATTTGTTGTTTGCTTGGATATGTCTCGACCTCAATATCAAGAATGATTTGTCTCAAGCAGCTCACCGTGCGTCTGCTTGATATATCGTCAATTGGGCGGTGACCAGGTGAAATGACGGACTTGGCGAAGCTGCGAGCCACAGCTTAAAGCCCACCGAGTGGGTCGCTAGACACTCATTCATCGCTATATTCTCTCCAGCTGCAGGAGTGGGTCGCACAGCTCTGCAGAGCTTGCTCAATGGCTCCTCCCTGGCTGAGACGCTCGTGTCCGGCCTGGAAGAGGCCAGTGGAGAGCTGCGAGAGTCGATGCAGTGGCCCAGCGCCGCGCGGAAGTTCTTGGCGCTGAAACAAGAAGCGGATCAAAGGCTGGGAATGAAGCCACTCGGATTTCGAATAGATTCTGATTCCTTTCGGCTTCTATCGGGCTTTTCGATTGGGATCTCAAAGGTAAGCTGCAAGAAGAGTGGGAACAACATCTATTGAAAGGGGGCCAATGTAGCACTTTGGCATGGCTTCTCACTTTGGAATCCAGAATGGATGATTGAGGGCCTCATTGTTGGAGGGCTTTGCTTGTCAGACGCTCATCCTTTAGATTGCATCATCCTTACCCTCCCTGCTTACTGCTGGACCCCGATCCATTTGTTATCAGGGCAGCCAAGATGTCAACCTGAACGGCTTGTTTGGTTCATATCACAAGGTATGGGCAAGGTCATGCAAGAGACACATCGCACCTAACTGAATGTCTACCACATTGCTGATTTTTTCAGTCAGAAACTTGTCGAACATGGGTGTTCCACAATTCCATCCCATTCCCTTCCGTTCCTTTTTCAAATTGCCTTTGAGGCAGGAAAGTTCTACGGGTTCTTTCCTGCTATTGTCAGGCTTGATGTCAATGGTCAATTCTCAGATTGAACAATTCAATGACCGGTTTCATTCGGAAGATGAAAACCGCCAGCACCTCGCAGATCCTCAGGACGGATGAGACCTTGAAGCACCTGAGCGCACCTCTCAAGGAGGTCAAGGACATGCTGGATGCAGCGGTGAAAGGCTTTGCAAAACTGATCCAGCACATCCACTATGCCCATGTCACGCTGCAATCGATCAAATCCTTTGCTGCCAGGAGCTTGTTTGTTTCTTTGTCGGGTGCTTGGGGAATAGTGGATGCCAAGGTCTGAAAAGCACATGGGAGTTGAATAGTTGAATCGTCAAATCATTGAGGATTGGAAAGAAGTAGCAAGTAACAGTATCAACGAAAGACCCACGAATAAGAACATTTGATAATGGGTAAAGTTATGAACATTGCAGCTGCTCACACACCCACATTTCAAGAGTTAAATCTTTTTGAAGTGGATGAAACAGGCCTTCAAAAAACAATAATGGGCAAAAACATGTCAAATTCTTCAAACCATTTTCTTGAAACTGCTCCTTGTAGAACTTAGCATTTTCACTACTACTTTGTTAACCAAATTCTATAGCAACAAAATAGAAAACACGCGTAGAACATACCCAGCAGCAGAATTGATGCTATCTTGCAAACCTTGTAAATGTCCATAGAAAACGGAGCCAATCCTTTGCACAAGGAGGCCTTTTTTCCGACAAAGCTATGGCTTTTTCTTTTGTCCGCTTCAATAAAGCGGCAAGGAGCCACAAAAAGCAATGGTCTTCGATGCGCCTGGTTCAACAAAACCACACCTAAGCAATGAAGCTCTCAAGAGCAAATTGCGATCCGATTACTGCAGTACCCCTTTACTGCATCAGCTCTTTAACTGGCTATACTGATATAGGTTCAATGAGACTCAAAATTGCAGCACTCCAAGGCATAGCTTCGTTGCACTGAGTTTGCCAAGGAGTGCTCAGTCTGTGTCCCTGCTGTTAAAATTGTAAATGAGTTATGACAGAAACCAGACAGGAGGGACGCACACACGCACATATCAAACTAAGTGCCGGACCCCGTTGTGCAGAAACAAGCACGAATCACTTGCAGTCATCATCTTGCTTTTCAACTTACACTACAACATTCTTCCAGCTTTTCTTCGAAGCAACCTTTGTATGAGAAGGCATCTCAGCTTCTGAAGCGCGGCCTTGCCCACTCTTGTGTCCGCCGTTGAGTGGACCTCCGAATTCGGGACGGACTTCAACGGCCTGAACTGTTTTGGTGTCTGTACCTTCAGTCATCTCATCTCAACGGCTCGATTCTTCCACCCTTCATGGAAGAACATTTGGCACTGAACATTTGGCCAGAAATCTTAGTCTGAACATTTGGCACTGTTCGCGTCGGAACGGTCGACCCATCTCATCGGGTGGACCGAAACGACCAAGGAGTCACTTGCGTCAGCGTCGACATGTTTTGCTCACCAGCTTTTAGACGGGGGGCGGACGTTTCTACTTTTGTATCTCGTTCCATTTTTCGTGCACAAAAGGAGTTGACAGAGTGTAGAAACGACTGATTCGCTTGCACTTGCGCTGCTTTTGTACGAACGCCAACAAAAGTAATTATCCAGGCCCTGCCAGAGGTTGTCATGCTAACAAGTCTTGAGACTAGTCACTACTTGTAGTCATTACTTTTCCCAAAGGTAGCGTGACGTGGTGGTGGGGTTTTCCCAGGAATGACTGTCCAGTGAGTTTCCTTGAGAAGTGCCCTGAGAGGCTTTGCTATGAACTCCCAGTGTCTGTGGAGCAGCGTTGTGCTGCTGCGTTCGAGGAAGCATTGCTCGATGTGAAGAATGCATCAGACGAGGAAGAAGCCTTGCTCAAGATGAAACACGCACTGGAGCGAGTCAGAGAAGTGGCTCAAGAAGAGGCCCTTTTGAGCAAAAAGGAGGTGGGATTGGCTCTGAAAACACACATGGCATTTTTGATGCAAACTTTTTGGGAAGTAGAAGATACCAAGATCCACTGTAACCTTTTTGTACTCCGTCACCGTCCCAATCAAGTTTGTTACTCCAGTCGGTTCTGCATGGTTTGCCGGATGCTTCTGACAGGAGCGCTTCAATGCCTCTGATGGGGTGAGGATTGTTTTCGCTCAGCTCCAAAGGGACAGCGAGAGCTTTCTCAAGAAACAGATTGAATCTTGGAGTGGGAGGTGTACCAAGACAAACTGGTATGGAAATGAACATTCTAATTAGCCAGCGTGTATGTACATATGTGTGTACTGCATAGGCTATGTATATAATACAACCTCGTTACTATCTTAAATCAGGAATGATCGTCGGAGAGATCTGACAGCCCCACCAGCAAGATGACCATGTTTGCTGGTAGTACTTTCATTACAGAACTTTTTGGATTACAGCCCTTCGCGAGTATGGAATGCCTTTCAAAAAAGGCTCTGCATGAGACATGGCAGGTGGCCCTTGTATTTGCGCACGACCTTCGACGTACCGCGCTTTTGGCGGTGGACTCACGTTGGCGTTCCAAGGATCCGTCCGATGAGTCCGAAGTGGCCCGTGCGCTCTGGGATCTACGAAGGCCGATCTCGTGTGCCAAGGGCCTGATGGAGGTGGGCAGTTCCTTTCTGGGGGATGCGGAAGGCATCAGCGTGCTGCTGGATGAAGTGGTGCCTCGAAGTTCAGTTCTTGGACACGATCTCACCTCTGAGTGAATGGCCTGTTGATTGGCAGAAGAACAAGGCATACTGTGGCGTAAGGTCCCACAGGTTTCAGGGGTACCAACGTGCCTCCCTTTCGAAGTGATGCCACACCGCTGCTGGATGCGCTACCGCCTAAGGTGCTTCTCGTGAAGAACACCAAGCTGCCGCAAGCAAAAGACAACTCCGCTGAGATATTGAAGTACAGGCTCCAAGCTCTGCTTAGCATGCTTTCAATGCTGCAGCCAGTGTGGAGCTCAGTGCGAAGGAAACGAAAGCACCGAAGGGGAAAGCTTGCAAGTGCCGTAATCTCAGAGGATTGATCGACGCATGTGAGGCATCAGTGGTGATTGGCCCTGCTTAAAAGACAACAGTATTCTTTTGAAATAGTAGAGGCTTGTCAAGAAGCACTCATCCTTATCCTAGGCCATGAACGAGAAGGTGCAGATGGAATGTATAAGGCCTGGAGTGAAAATGGGAGTGAGAACGGATCCTGAAGTTGCTGCTATGGGTTTGAATAAAACTGCAAGCCATGGTCCATGGTAATGAACGGTAGTGGTAGGTCTGTGCACCTTTTGTGCCATTTCGACTGCGATCGTGTGAAGATGGGCCGAATACATTGGATGAAGCCACATGCAATTGGTCGACGTAGGTTTCCCACCAGGCGGACCCTGGTGGGGTTGGATTTGGCTGAAAGAGGATGAAAGCTGTTTCACGGCGTCCACTCTGGAGTGACCTGACCCACACGTCAGTCCTCCCAGTGTAGGTCGGAGTGATCCAACAGTCTTGAAGCACCTCGAGTGCTTTCGCACATCGTGCTTGCCGATCGGGTCGGGAAAGCGCTTCGGATGCGCACGCGCCAAGCGGGCACATCCGAACGTCAAGGAACTGGAGCTTCGCGTCGTAGCAAAGCTTCCTTTGATGACATCCACGGGGGAAATACGACCTGCGTGTCCTTACCAGGGTCCCCTCAGATGAGTCTGGAGAACCACAGCATTTTCGAGGACTTTGTTTGGCCCACTTCCCGCTTCACCAGATTTTTTGGGAACCGTATTTTTTCCCGGTCCAAACCATCGTGAGGCCCTTGACCTCACTGGCCTTCGGGGCTGCGCGCGACATGGCCCAGCAAGTGGCAGCGGAGCTCCAAACGCTTAAGAAGCGAGACATGGACGAAAAGCAGAGGACGAGGTACGGCGCTCCGGACGTGATCTTATATGTTCTCGTCATATGATCTTATGTATCTGGCCTTCCAAGAGAGGAAGGGTTGACATTAGCAAGGATCACACAAGAAGGGTCGACAGTAGCAACATCACTTCTTTGTGAGCGAAGCGCAAGGCCAATGGAAGAGCCTCTAAGGCCCAAGGGGTCTTAAGCCTTGCTACTTGTTCGGGGAAGGTGTTTTTCTCATGCTTTCCGTTGGTGGCGTGGTTTGCGTTGGTTGGATGATCATCAGCTCAAATCCAGTCAACGCTGAGTGAAACAATTGACCTTTTAAGGCTATTTGCAAGGCCATCGATCCAATTCTTTACACCAAGTACTGTACCTGGCAGTTTGTCAAGCATGTAGGTCGCAGAGGCTCCACTTGGAGAATGGACTACCAAATGTTCACAAACCACCACATGTGCCCAGATCTGCCAGGATCTCCATCGTTTTGGAAGCCCTGGAAAGTCCCTTGTTGGTGGCCTGGAAGCATCTCCAAGACAGTCGAAGGCTTTTCTCCAAAGATGGAGGTCGAGGCCTCTCTGTGTCAACACTACGAAGGCTGCTCCAGGAGATTCAGCAAGAGTTGCCTGAAGAAGGTAGTGGCAGCAAACTCAGCAGCGACAAAGCACAAGAGGTGGACACAAAAGTGACTTGACTTCTTGAGAATGTGAGTCAAGACCTTTTTGTTCAGACAAGAGGATCAAGAGGGAGGACTGGGGCTTTGCACGATTCGTTCGCCGCTGGTGCAGGGTTTGTGAAAACCGTAAGACGATTGGAGTCTCAGTCTCTCTCGGATTTGCATCCCTCAATCGGTACTGATCCTTCTCTCCCAGATCAGCACCCTGCTTTCTCGGTACAGACTGCTTTTGAGTCTCGGTTTCTTCTTTACCCTACCCTTCACAAGAGAGATTAGCAGAGGTTTACTGTATACAATTTGATCAGCCGATAAAGCCGGATTCAAGCCTTACCAGACCAGCGTTTCTCAACGCACCTTCCCTGCATGGCCAGGTGAGACTGCTGATCCACTACATCGAGCTTAATCGGGCACCGGACGCCACCAAATCAGGGCGTTCGAAAGGGGTGCAGCGAATCGCGGTGGCCTCGCCGGGCTCCTTCAGGTGAGGGTGGAGCAGCGTCTTCTTGTTGCTTTGATTCATGTGAATTCGCTTGGCCTGCAAGTGAAGATGTTTGCTTCTTTCCTTTCACACCTATGGCATGAAACCACCAACAGGAACCAAGCTAGCAGCCGTGACTGTGCCTGTTTGGAGGCTTGCCTCGGCCTCCAGACTGCTCTTTGCCTGCCTGCCTACGACGCACACCGAAGCAACTGAGCTGCGGAAGGCCCTCGAGCAGCTCGCACAGGAGGTGCCGGAGCTGGTGAAGAACCAGGATCCCAAGCAAACCGAGGCTCCTTGGGTGCATGTATCTATATGTACAAAACGCCATTGTCGAAGTTTCTGTGATTTTTATCGGTGCTAAAGGCAACTGGATCTTCGGGCATGCAAAAACGTGTCGCCCTGTTGGGTGAGGAGCTGGAGCGCTGTGCTGAAGTTGAGCTTCTCACCGCTGCGGTGAAGCTACAGGAGGAGCTTCGCGACAAAGCCCTTCGATGCCTGAAGAAAGATGAGTCGAGAAAGGTCTCTGAGGAGACACTGAAGGTCTTGCGAGAGGTGGCCGTGGGACTGAAGGTGCGGTGGCGGCGTTTGGGTGGTCAGCGTTTTGGTTGGTGGTCTTTGCAATCTGACTTTTTTGCATGAAGGCTCCAGTTGGGGTCAGGGGCGTCTCAGCGACTTGAACTGTCAAGTCCGTGGACGTATGGTCTAAGCACCACGACGTCGTGTCTGTTTGCAGATTTGTAACTCGTCATTGGCCTTTTGGCTTGAAGTCCTGCCCAGGTCATTTCGGACTGCTTTGCTTCTCGTGGTTCAGACCCAGAGAACTCAGTCACACAGACTGAAGACCCCAAGAAGCAGGCGCCAGAGCCCGTGAAGCAGAAAGGATGGGGCTTGTCTTCATTGTACTCGAAGGCCAAGCAAGTTGTCTCGTCCAGCTCACGGAGTGGTGGTAGCTTGACGAAAGCGATGGGAACGAATGTGGGAGAGAGTACCTGAAAGGGTCTGTTGCTCGGGTTGATATGTGGGAGAGAGGTGACCTTTCCGCCTCGCGAATGTGATGACCATCCATTCTTCAACAAGATCCCACCTTGAGGATTTTTCAGCAATATGTTGCGTTGCGTGGACTTAGCTTTTGCCACGAAGCCAATGCACATTCGCAACCACTCAACACACCTCAGTAGGATCATGAGGGGCGCAAAGGGTACCCCAACTGGTCCACTACTCCCCTTCCGCCACACTCTCCTTCTGGCCTAGCAATCCCAACCATCAGGACACGCAAAAAGGGATGCCAACCATCAGAGGACTCCAACCTCCAGTGTCTGTTTTTCAGCTGATGAGCCCCGACTCCGTCTGTTTTTCCCACAACACCTCGAAACACCGAGGATCGAACACCGACGCGAAAACGGACGCCGCGACGGACGTGACCCTTGCCTCTTTGCTACTGATGGTCATGAGCTTGCTCGAAGGCGTCCAACGCGGCGAAGCTTCTGAGGACCGACCACGGCGATGGGCTTTGCTGCGGCGACGGCGTTGCTGCGGCGAGTTCGTTTTTCCATGATTTGTTGCGGCACCTGCAACCCATGCCAACCACCAAATCCATGGATTCTTTCCAAAAGAAGCTTGATGTTTCCGGGACGAACGGACTTACCGGGCGGTACATTTCATGACCCTCGCTACCCGTGCTTCTCGGATTGGTACCTTCTTCACCTCCGATAGGAGTGTCTTACGCTAAGTTGATGTTCAACTGTGTACATGTGCTATTCATGAGGTGGTGAAAAACCAAGGTGCAGGACGCTTTTGAGGTGTAAGTATGAAAAAGTCCTTGTTCTGGACGCTTCACGGGCCCCAGATCAAGGCCTTTGATTCTTGGCGACGGACGTGCAATTATTTGACCAAGCGCGGATAAATGATGAGCGTGTGCTCCTCCCCCTTAATCTCTTGATTAGTAGCAACAGATGTGCCGAATCTGCTCATGTTGGAGATGGCGTTGTATCTTTCTGAGCGTTGTTGTTCTGTGAATAAGCTTGGAACATTTGGAACTTTGAATCCATTTTGTCGATGCTCAACACCTACCGCCCAGCCTCAGCCAAGCCCTGTCACCCGTGAATGCTGTCAGGACGCCTTGGAGACGTTGCGGGGAACCGTGGTCCAATGGCAGGCAAGAACCTCGCCCAAGTTCAGGAGCTCCGTCACCACGCCAGCCGGTGATCCGATCCAGATGAAGCAGTAGTTGGGACAGTTGGGAGATGCTTTTGTGTATTTTTTTGTGGGGACTAGGATGATAATTAAAGAGCACTTCAAGGCTTTTTGCAAGGTGAATCCTTAGTGGCTTTTTGCCTCAGCTCCATGTGTGATGATTGGTAAGCTTGATGGATGAATCGGGTGAGTTGTTGCGTAGGGCCCCGGCACCAGAACTGTTCAGAAGCAAGCCTTGGGCTGTTGGTGAAAGCTTGTTTGTAGCTTCGGGGCGTTTCTCGTTGCGTTGGTTCTGTGCTCAGAGTTTCGAACATGCTGTAATACGAGCAAGACAGAAGCTTGGAGTCTTCAAGCAACTGGGGCAACAGCGCAGCACCACGAAAGAATTGTAAACATGTCCTGCAACAATCCTAGCGTCAGATAATTAGTTTGACACTTTATTGAGCCAGGAGGTTCGTTTGGTAGATAGTCTGTTTCGTTAGTGTGGCTTAACTAGGTAGCTTTGGAGCCTGCATTCGTGAGTCAGCCAAATCTCCTTTTAACTTATTGGATTCTCAAGTGTTTCTCCATTTTCTAGCTAAGTGCCAAGCAAGATCATATGGCTTCAAACAGATAGGACGCTATCCACACCTGTGGCATTGCCTTCTCGTTTGATCACAAGGGTGCAAACAACACTGCAAAGATGAGGCACTCATAGCTCTCTTGCCACCCTACTATTGTCGTTTTTGTCCTTGTTTCTTTGGTGCAAGCTGTACCATAATTATTGATTTGTGAGATGGAGGCATTTGGACACATTGCAGGATTGTCAGATGTCTTTGCCAGGCTTGAAGGCCTTGGATGAAGGCCTTGTGGAAACAGTAATCCCAGAGAAGACGCTGAACGCACTTGCAACAAGAATCATGTGTAAACACATGTCAAAGGGTTTCCCTTCAAAGCAGGACAAAACCACAGCCTGGAGAAAAACAAGACAAAGCATTGCAAGGGCTACAGAACCAATCCCACTTATCTACTCAACACACTTACACACACACACACACCTGTCAGACTCCAGTTCGCTTTTAACACTCGCACTAATAACAGCATGTATAGATTGATGTCATTTACCACTTGCTCTCTAGGAGGCGTTTCTTCTCCTAAGCTTTGTCTCTGAGCATTGTGAGGAGTCCCAATGTAAAGGATGTCCTGGACGAGAGCAAGAGGCTTTGGTTCCAGCTGCGTTGGGCACTCTCTTCGCTCGAGGTGTGCCTCTCTGTTGGTGTACAGGACATCTTGACTGCGAAGGCCAGGATCAGATTCACCTCTGGGATGTGCTCAAGAGAGAGGTTTGCAGTGGGTGCATGTTTGAGGTGCTACTCGTTTGCAGCTTTCAGTGTGATTGATGCTTCAGGATTCCGAGCCCAAGAGGGCTGCCACGGTGATGGCGGTGCTTCAGGAATCGATCAGGAGCTTGCCCCACACCGCTGCTGAGCAATCTGACAGGCCGCTGGTGCCATTTTTGATAATCACAATCGGTAAGAGCTCGTGCTTTTAAAACTAGGACATTCACACATCAAAACACAGGTAATTAGAGGTATGTAGAAGTCTAGACGTTCGACACATCGCATCACTTTTCACCTTTTTTTGTGAGCAAATCATGGGCCCAGACTTGGAAGTTTCATCGGAGAAGGGGCCCCATGACAATCCAATAATGGGGGCAAAAAAAGGGCCTTTAAGGCGAGCAGCGCTGCAGATGAGTCATTGGTAGCAACCTGATCTGCAACCCTCGGGGCTAAAGTCCAACTGCCCCTTGCTGCTGCTTTGGTAGGCCGATGCCCCTCATGGATCTACTGAAGAAAGCTCAAACAAAGCTCGATTCCTCCTTCGGCGAAATGCGAGACCTCATGCTAGAGCCTCGCAGAAATAGCAGTCTTATGTCTTAGGTTTGCAGAAGCTTTGCTTGATATGTTTGGGCCATGTCACGTCTTGTGGCTTTTGAAGGGGTTTCTTGGCCACTCCCCTAAGATTCCAACCACCATTGTTCTAATGTTTTTACCGAACAACCGTTGTTTTACCACGGATTTTAGACTAGAAAACCGGGTCAACCTTTTTTCAGTCTTGGAAGGCTGGGGACTCTGCCATCTAATGAATCTTCGTCAACGATTGGCAGGAGCGTGCCCCCGCTGAGCAATCCATCCTGGATCCGTTCGTCCGAGCACCTCCGGGGTCCTCTCGCTGTCCACCTTGTTCCCTCGCATCTTTCGGCGCCCGCGCCGGGCTTCGCACCCGCTCAGGCGAAGTTGCCGACGCAGGAATTGGTGACGGCGCTGGCGGTCGTGGGGGTTTGCGATCAGCAGCTCTTGCGCTCGGTGGCGGAGTTGAACGGTCTCCAGGAGGCACGCGGGGCCTCGTGTTGTGCGTCGTCAGGTTTCTAGGAATGGTATGGAATAGTAATAGTCGTAGTGCTAGTACAAGCAGCCGCTGTCGTGGTCGTCACATTCATAGGAGAAATGAACGCAACACAGCAGCAGATCCATGCTGTAGCAAGTAGTTAGAAGCTGTGGTGGGGGAAGCTGCCGTAGTAGTATTGGATTTGTAGTAGTAGTAGTAGTAGTAGTAGTAGTAGTAGTAGTAGTAGTAGTAGTAGTAGTAGTAG